GGACCAGCAGGAACTCTAACAGTGTAGAGAATAGGAGATGGGATCCTTGACTTAAAACAACAAGGGACTTACCATTGTATCCTTCTAGGACAGAGTCAATAATAGGTCTTGCAGTTAAATTATAGACATCCAGCTGTTTACTCTCTGGTCCAAACACTGTGTCAAATGTAAATGTCTTGGGAGGCTCATTGGAGGAGTCTGTTTTATGAACAGTTATAGTTCCTCTCATCTCATCTACATTGACTGCCATTTTGTAGCCCGTAGCTTTCTCTCGTTCATTGAGAGGCCGGCATCGAACAACAACCTTGACATTATCACAGCTCTCTGGCTTGTCCAGCTTCTCAGGCTTGTTGATCTACAATTATTTTAAAAAGCAAGAAAAATACACAGGCTGTAACACTACTGTTAACATACTTGTGCGTTTAAGCACAAACACTGTTGAATCAACTCAAGTAAATGCATACCTTTCCACAGGATCATGAACTTGGACTTAAAACCAGAACTGGTTTAGAATTAAAGCTGAGAGAATAATGTATGCTTATTCAGTCAATGCAATCTTCCTCTGTTTGCTAACATGGAAACCAACTGAGTAAAACTTGAGAATTTCACAGTCAAGATCATCTATTAACTTCTTCAATAAACGATTTAATGCTAGCAAACATTCTGCAAGCAGTTTGCTGGAAGCGGGTGCAGCAGTGCGGTTCTACGTTAACACAATGACCAGGCTCTCAGCGGAGCACACAAGCCTCAAACCTTACAGATGACAAGCAGATACCAGTGAGCACTGGCTGAAGGGAACTCATTTAAGTTACAAGCTTCAGTGCACTTGCTGAATTTTGAATTTAACCATTCAGAAAATTCAAATGCTGTATTATAAAACCTCACAAGCCTTTTCTTTCACAGAGTAGTTAAATACAAATTTTGAAGCACTGCCGATTAATTTGATGTCACATGCTTCTCCTGATTAAATAAACCTAAAACCCAATTGATCTAGTAAACTCTAAGACACCACCCTCGGCAGTAAGTGCTGTAGCTGAGCATTTAGCTACTTCTCAAGCAGCTATCTTGGATGTCAACAAGAAACAAACTGCTTCCAAGCGCCTCTCCCACCCGCTGCCAGCTGCCCAGATTCCTCTCAGGCCTGAGCGGAGGCCAGAAATGCCTTCTGCCGCTCTGGTGAGAGCCAAGAGCCGATTAGCCTCATCCGGGGCGGAGGAGGGATCCTACGGTCTGACTGTGCCACCGTGGGTGCAAGAGAGTTTCCAAAATCGGCGAGTCACGATGAGGCA